TTTCATTTTTATTTATTTAATTAATTTATTTTATTTTTATTTATTTTAATAATTAATTAATTAATTTTATTTCATTTATTAATTTTATTTTTATCAGTGTTAATTAATTGTATTTATTTAATTTATTTAATTGATATTTATTTTAATAAATAATTAATTTATTTTATTTATTTATTTTTTATTTATTTATTTTAATTTAATTTTTAGGTTTAAAATAAAGTGTATTTTTGTTTGTTTTTTATTATTTTATTTACACTTCAATAATAATGTTATTACATAAATTTAAGGTTACGTTTTATTTTAATGTGACGTGGTGACAGTGTAATTTTTTATTTAACCACTGAAGAATACTGAAAACCTCTAATCATTGACTTGCATAGTAGAAAAAACAAATGCAATTCAATTCTTACAGGTTTCCAGCATTCTTCAAAATATCTTCGGCTGTGTTTAGCTGAAGAAAGAACTCATAAAGGTTTAAAATCAGGAAAGTATAAAATGAAATAATGAATTTTTGTGTGGACTGTCCCTTTAAATCCTGCCCCTTCAACTAACACCGCTAGTAAATAAGAAGAGGTTCAGCGTAATAATATTAACAACGTTCATTCTCAGTGGTGCATGTGTGATCTATGCAGTTTCTGTGATGTTTATTATTTATTCATGTTTTATATTTATGTTGTGAAATGTGTGTCTAAAATGCAAAGATGCCACTTTCATTATGTTAATGTGAAGTGTTCATGTTTCAGCCTGTGGGGATGTTCGCATCTGGTCACTTCAAGTATTTTGTGAAAAGGGCAGGTGCAAATGTATTCTAGATGAGTAAAATCCGATCGCTCAAACCGCTTCAGGAGATGTTGATGAGATGCATACCGTATGAAATTGGACAGGCCTAAATGCATGTTGATGTTAAAACCACATATGCATTTTTTGTGGCCCTCAAAATGTAAAACAATAAAAACATAAGAGCATGTTATAGGCTAAATGCAATACAGGCTCATAACTAACGTTATTTTATTTTATTTTATTTTATTTTATAATTCAATTTATTTATTTTATTTTATTTTTATTTTATTAATTAATTAATTGTATTCAATTTTATTAGTTACATTTTTATTTATTTATTTTACTAATTTAATTAAATTGCATTTTATTTTATTATTATTTTATTATTATTTTTAATAGTTATTTAATTTTATTTTATTAATTTTATTTTTATTTACTTTATTTTTATTAATTTTATTTTTATTTATTTTATTTTTTAATTAATTTTATTTTATTTTGTTTTATTTTTTTAATTTTATTAATTAATTTAATTAAATTGCATTTTATTTTATTATTATTTTATTATTATTTTTTAATAGTTATTTAATTTTATTTTATTCATTTTATTTTTATTTATTTTGTTTTTATTCATTTTACTTTTATTTATTTTATTTTTTTAATAAATTTTATTTTGTTTTATTTTATTAATTATTTTATTTTTATTTATGAATAATTTAATTTTTATTCATTTTTTATTAATTATTTTATTTATTTTAATTTATTTATTTATTATTTTATTTTATTTCATTTTAATTTAATAATTATTTGTTTATTTTATTTATTTATTTTCCTTTATTTTATTTAAAAAAAAAATTCCATTTAAATGTCTTAACAGAGCGAATGACACTTAATAACAGTTTCTATAAGCATGCATAAAATCTCATTAACAATCCTGACAATGACAAATCACGATTATAAAGGTTTCTAAAGAACACCCCTTCAATTAAGGTGTTGCCACAAAACCCTGCTCAAGGAAAATTGTCCTTATTATTCCATTGAGAAACGTATAGATTTAGTCAAGTGTGTCCAGATTTTTGACAGTCAGTGTGCTTTAAAGCATAATATGGATTCTTTTACACACAATGTTTGTCCTCTATTGGTGAGTTAAATCTGTTTGCTTGACCTGTTTCAGACAATGACTGTGGTGATAACAGTGATGAAGCCGGCTGCAGTCACTCATGCTCCAGCGCTCAGTTTAAGTGTAACAGCGGTCGATGTATTCCTGATTACTGGACCTGTGACGGAGACAACGACTGCGGAGACTACAGCGACGAGACCCACGCCAACTGCACCAACCAGGGTCAGTTCATTTTATTTATTTGTATTTGTTTATTGTCGGGCGGCATGGTAGCATAGTGGTTGGCACTGTCGCCTCACAGCAAGAAGCTCGCTGGTTGTGTATAAACAACATAAACTAAAACACCAGCATTATGTGTACGGGGTCTTTGTTGTCACTTATTCTCTATTGGAGACAGGTCAGGACTGCAGGCAGGCCAGTCCAATACCTGTATCCTCTTCCTCTGCTGCAGGAGTTTGTGATCTATGTGCTTTTCAGCAGTAATGGTCTATAACAGAAGTGCAGGTTAAGTTTGCCAAAGGCACTGACACAACCCTATACCATCCCAGACCCTGGCTTTTCAACTTGTTGCTGGTAATAGTCTGGATGATCCTTTTCTTCTTTGGTCCAGAGCACACGGCATCCATTTCTCCCTCAAAAATACCTGACCTACTGATTCATCTGACCACAGTACACGTTTCCACTGTGTGATGGTCCATCTCTGATGCCTCTGAGCCCAGAGAAGCCGACGGCACTTCTGGACACTGTTAACATAGGGCTTCCTTTTACCACAGTACATTTTTCACTGGCATTTGTGGATGTACCTATATATTGTGGTGCTAGACAAAGGTTTGCCGTAGTAGTCCGGAACCCATGTGCTGATTTGGCTTATAGATGTATGAGGAGACTTGATGCAGCGCCCCCTGGGGGATCGGAGATCACTGCTGTTCAGCTTAGGCTTGGCTTCCTTAATGCATTCATGTTGATATCTTTAAGAAAATTAAGTCGCGATCACGAGAAAACAACTTTTGATTTGTCGAGATCACAGGACATTTAGTCATGATCACGAGAAAACAAGAAAGAAAAGTATAGTCATGTAAGGACTTCCGTATGTCACGGTATCTGAGCTTCTGATCATGTAATTAATGCTTCAGTTATCCTTGGCTAAAGTGCTGTTCCATATAAATAACAACGTGAAATTTCTGCAGTTACAAATCACATGTTAATTAATGAGGAATCCTCGTGTTAATATACACCACTGCCATTTTTATCCAAATATAGACTCTCCTCTCTCTCTCTCTCTCTCTCCTGAGGATAAACGTCTTTGCCAGCGGCTCTGTTAGCACTGGAGTTAGATATGAGGCACATTACAGGGTGATGATGAATTTAAAAAGGGATGAATACAAACTAATCCCACCTCACACAACCACAACAAGAGCTTTATTCTCCTCTGAAGAACTTACTATTGTTATTTTTGCAAATGCTTCTCTCCAATGACACTTACAAATGACGAAAATGAAAACATAATGGTATGCATGCTAAGGAGACTGTAAGATGAGAAATGGCACAATAATTATGTTAGAAAGCTAATTTATAGATATTTATATCATAGAAGTTAGAGTTTAAAACAATGCTATACACTGTAAGAATAGTTGTATAAGTTAATAAATAAAGTTATTAACTCACTTTCAGACAACCCAGGCTCATTGTGGATATGTACCCAGGTCTACATTTTTGGGGATAGCGAAATATGTAACCGAAGGTACGTCTGCTCATAGTTTTTGTGTTCAGAAATTCACCAGATGCCGCTGTGTATGCTTTTTGATGATCTCAAATTTCTTTTGCGCGTCCTCTTCCTGCGTTTATCCACAAGAGGACGCAATATACACTTAATAAGATGACGTGTGAGAGAAGTTTGAGATAATCAGAAAGCATGCACAGCTGCCTCAGGTGGATTTGCGAAAACAAAAACTGCCAGCAGACGTACCTCCGGTTATGTATTTCAGTGTTCCCAGAAATGTAGACCTGGGTACATATCCGCAATGAGCCTGGGTTGTCTGAAAGTGAGCTAATAACTTTATTTATTAACTTATACAACTATTCTTACAGTGTCTTACAGTTGAATGAGAATTCCATGAATAGTTCTCGAATATTTATTTAAAATATTTGTTTGAGAATTGCCATTAACTCTCTGTTTAATTTTGTTTTTTTCTCGACAGCAACCCGTCCTCCTGGTGGCTGTCACACAGATGAGTTCCAGTGTCGCATGGACGGCTTGTGTATTCCCCTGCGCTGGCGGTGTGATGGGGACACCGACTGCATGGATCTGAGCGATGAAAAGAACTGCGAGGGTGTAACGCACATGTGTGATCCAGCAGTGAAGTTTGGCTGTAGGGACTCTGGTAATAATGCACAAAGTATTGATAGCATGTTCTCAATTTAATAGTTCAATTTAATTCAATTCATCTTTGTTTCTATAGCGCTTTTACGGTGTAGATTGTGTCAAAGCAGCTTAAGACAGAAGTTCTAGTAAATTGAAATTAAGTCATTCCAGTTTTCAGAGTTGAACTTCTATTCAGTGTGGTTCAATTTTCACTGCTGCAAGTCCAAACATTGAAGAGCTAATCCAGCGATGCGCAGTTTCAAAGTCCCAAACCATGCAAGCCAGTGGCGACAGTGGCGAGGAACAAACTTCACCAATTGACCAAAGTGAAGGACAAAACCTCGAAAGAAACCAGGCTCAGTTGGGCATGACCATTTCTCCTCCAGCCAAACTTCTTGTGCAGAGCTGCAGTCTAGGCACCGGAGGGTGGAGAACACTGGATGTCCATCGTGGAGAAGCTGCAGCTGTGAGTAGATCACCGGCTGGCCCACGGCATCAATGCGGAGACTCGTCTGTCACTGAGGTCTTTCAGGAGTCAGTCTCATGCTCTCCACTCTCTTCGTGACCACCACAGCATCTGCTCAGGATACGGCCTGGTCCAGGATTATGGAGACCTCTAGAAGTCCTCTATGGTTGGCATCATCTCTTCATATACGTTGATCCTTGAGGTCAACATAGAGAATCAGTACCTTAAAGTCTGAGGCCATGGTGCTCCACCGGACAAAGTCGGTTTGTCATCTCCAGCTTGGAAAAGAGTCCTTACCCCAGGTGGAAGAGATCAAGTACCTTGGGGTTTTGCTCATGAGTGAGGAAAGGATGGAACGTGAGATTGACATCGGTCGACGGTCGAAGTACCGGTCCGTTGTGGTAAAGGAAGAGTGGAAGGGCAAAGCTCTCGATGTGCTGGTGCATCTACGTTCCTACTCAAACCTACGGTTATGAGCTTTGGGTCATGACCGAAAGGGCAAGATCTGGGAAACAAGCGGCCAAAATGAGTTTCCTTCACAGGGTGGCAGGGTGCACTCTTAAAGATAGGGTGAGGAGCTCTGACACCCGGAAGGAGGTCGGAGTAGAGCTGCTGCTCTTCCACATCCAGAAAAGTCAGCGGAGGTGACTCGGGCATCTGTTTTAGACGCCTCCTGGGCGCCTACATAAGGAGGTTTTCCGGGCATCTCCCACCGGAAGGAGGCCTCGGGGAAGACCCAGAACACACTGAAGGGACTATGTCTCTCGGCTGGCCTCGGAACACCTCGGGATGCATGTTCGGAAATCTAATAGGGAAGCATTACGCTGCTATTGTTTTTATCCATATCATGCAAATATTAAACAAGCGCATCTAAGACACTATACTTGTGTGTTTACTTGATATGTATCATATATACTTTTAATGTATGTAGTAAAGGTCATTCCCAGAACTTTTCAAGTCCTGAAGTAACTTCAGAATGGCTTGCTGTTTTTAATCTTAACAGGAGTGTTTTGTGTGTGTTTGCTGTGTAGCGCGGTGCATCAGCAAGGCTTGGGTGTGCGACGGTGACAGTGACTGTGAAGATAACTCAGATGAGGATAACTGCGAGGCGCTGGTGTGTAAGCTGTCCCATCACGTGTGTGCCAATGACTCCAACATTTGTCTGCCTGCTGAGAAACTCTGCGACGGCAAAGACGACTGTCCTGACGGCTCCGATGAGAAACTCTGCGGTAAGAGCACAAACTGACTTAATGCTGTATTGTGATGAAAGTATTCACACTTGATACCGATGTACCATGTGAAGCATGTCCTGCCGGTAACTGTTTCCAGCAGCAATCAAGAATGCATGATTATATGCTGTCATGTCTCTGCAATCAGAAAATTGTGATTATAATGGAAGTCAATGGGGCAAAAACAGACCCCAACATAACCAAAGGGGAGTCAATTTGAACAATACACAAGGGTTAACTGTATTGTTTGTCCTCCTTCAGATCTGTGTTCTCTGGAGAATGGCGGCTGCAGTCATAACTGTACGGTGGCCCCGGGCGAGGGCGTTCTGTGCTCGTGCCCGCTGGGAATGGAGCTGGGCACCAACAACAAGACGTGCCAGATCCAGGGCTTCTGCGCCAAACACCTGAAGTGCAGCCAGCGCTGTGAACAGGACAAGTTCAATGTCAAGTGCTCCTGCTATGAAGGATGGGCCCTCGAACCTGACATGGAGAGCTGCAGGAGCACAGGTGAGAGCGGCCTCAGGTGGAGGCTTGCATTAGGGTGTGTTTCAATTGCAGATGTCAATCCCATCCATTTGGATCACAGTTTTACCATGAATGAGTGTAATGTGCTGCATATTTGTTAGTTATGATGGAATCTGACCTGATCATATGAATCCGTGAGTCATTTACCAGAGACTTGCTCTGATCGTATCATTCAAATCAATGAGTTGTTTACTTCAGATTTGCTCTGTCTAGATCATTTGAATCAGTGATTCATTAACTGGTGACTCCCTCTGACCAGATCATTTTAATTTGTGAATTGGTAACCGGCAGCTCGCTCTGATTGCATCAATTGAATCAGTGACTTGTGTTCTCAATATTTGCTCTCATCAGTTTATTTGAATCAGTGATTCATTAACTAGTGACTCTCTCTGAGCAGATCATATGAGTCATTGAGACTTTAACTAGATACATGCGCTGACTGGATCATTTGAATTATCGATTCATTAACTAGTGACTCGCTCTGGCCACATCATTTGAATCAGTTCATTGTTAACCAAAGACTCACTCGGACTGGATCATTTGAATCATTGATTCATCTAGTGGTTTGCTCTGACCAGATCATATGAATCAGTGAGTCGTTAACTGGTGACTCGCACTGAACAGATGATTAAAATTAGTCATTAATTAATTTATGACTCTTTCTAATTACATTATATGATTCAGTGAGTCATTAATTAGAGACTTGCTCTGAACAGATCTTATGAATCGGTGAGTTGTTAACCAGAGATTCGCTCTGACTGGATCATATGAATCAGTGGTTCTTTAACCAGATACCTGCTCTGACCAGATCATTTATATCAGTGATTCATCTAGTGACTCACTCTGACCAGATCATATGAATCAGTGAGTCGTTAACCAGAGACTCAATCTGACAAGATCATTTGAACCATTGATTCATTTAGTGACTTGCTCTGATTAGTTCATATGAATCAGTGAGCTGTTAACCAGATACTTGCACTGAACAGATCGTTTGAATCAGTGATTTTTTAATTAGTGACTCTGTGTGTTCAGATTATATGAATCAGTGAGTCGTTAACCAGAGAATCACTCTGACCAGATAGTTTTAATTAGTGATTCATTATTGTGGACTCTGTTTGTTCAGATCACATGAATCAGTGAGTCGTTAACCAGAAAATCACTCTGACTAGATCATATGAATCAGTGAATCGTTATCCAGAGATCCACTCTGCCTGGATAATTTGAATCAGTGAGTTGTTAACTGCTGACTCGCTCTGATCAGATCATATAAATCAGTGAGTCGTTAACCAGAGATCTGCTCCGACCAGATCATTTGAATCAGTAAATTGATAACTGAAGACCAAATCTCTCTAATGCTGTCTTGAGCTTTTTGGTTTTGTTTTGTCTTTGTCAAATGCTTTATTTCCCCCCATAATTCTGCAACACTGGAAAAGTTCAAATGGAAAAACAGTAATATATCAACAATAGTCTATATGATTCAAAAGTGTTTTACAGCACATGCCAAACGCTGGAAAGAGCCACTAAAGGTTGCTGAAAAACTAGAATAGATATGAAAACCATTGCGGTTCACACTGTTCGGCAGAAGATGACAACCGGAGGAAAACATTCAGCCGCATACAGGAAGTGGTCTCCTATAAAGAGATTACAACCGAGCCTGATTGTGTTTTCTTCAAAGCCTGAAAGAAAGGAGGTTTGGGTTTAAGAGACGGCTTGAAGCAGAAGGCATGAGGAAAATGACGGCAAACTGTTTGGCGGCGTAAGTGGTGGTTTATTTGTGTCACGAAAGAATGCAAATGGGAGAAGAAAATAGGAGGGCTTGAAGATTTACAGTGACTGGAAGTGGCGGAGCGGCCCACTCGGCCAAACACACCATGAGTTCTGCATTACTGGATGTACTTTGCATGCCTTTGAGAAATGCTAGTCATTTAGAGCAACAGAGCAAATATGTCTCGGGCATGTGTGCACTGTAAAAGAAAAATAGGGTAGCACTGGCCTCACACCAAGAAGGTCGCTGGTTCGAGTCCGGGCTGTCTCCGTGGCATTTCTGTGTGGAGTTTGCATGTTCTCACGGTGTTGATATGGGTTTTCTCCGGGTAGAAAAAAAAGCTCAAAGTATAAACATACAAAAGAGTTATCTGTACAAATAGAAACACAGAAGTGTCTAACACATGAAGACTTTACTTTAGAGCAGGGGTCATCAATCTCGGTCCTGGAGGGCCGGTGTCCCTGCAGGATTTAGCTCCAACTCGCCTCAACACACCTGCCTGGATGTTTCAAGTATACCTAGTAAGACCTTGATTAGCTTGTCCAGGTGTGTTTGATTAGGGTTGGAGCTAAAATCTGCAGGACACCGGCCCTCCAGGAACAAGTTTGGTGACCCCTGCTTTAGAGAATGATGAGTTATGGTTCATCGTTGTTTTTCCAGATCCCTTCAAACCGTTCATCATCTTCTCCAACCGGCACGAGATCAGACGCATCGATCTTCATAAAGGAGAGTTCAGTGTGTTGGTTCCTGGTTTGAGAAACACCATCGCTCTGGATTTCCACCTCAACGAGAGCTCTCTCTACTGGACGGACGTCGTGGAGGACAAAATATACAGAGGGAAGCTGTCGGAGAATGGTGGTAAGATAATCTCTCTTCATTTGCATCTTAATCCTAACCCAGTGGTTCTCAAATCGGGTCTTCGGGCCCCCAACCCTGCACATTTTGTATGTCTCTCTTATTTGAAGGATCAGTTCATGGATCTCTCTGTTAACGAGCTGAGAATCTGGATCAGGTGTGTTAAGTAAGGAAGACATAAGCTGCGTCCCAAATGGCGACTCATGCACTATGTACTTATGCACTATGTACTTATGCACTTACACACTCAACAGGATTGTATATGTATGTGGTGTCGTCCCAAATGGCACACTAATGTTTTTCACTAAGGGGAAATTCAAACCGTTTCCCCGATGAAGTTTTACGGTTGCCAAATCAGTGAAATAAATGACAGAATTATCAAATAATACCTGCCGTGAGTATAACCGCATTCATTATCAGGAGGTGCTATAATCACTCTTGTAGGAGAATTTTGCTTTCACTATCCAAAATAAATAAAGCGATCCAGCATGTGCGTCCGATAGCTCCGCCTCTTCCGCTACGTGAGCAAACCTGCGGTTGTTGAGTGCGTGAAGTGTCCATCATTACACACTTCACTTTAGCGAGTGCACTTATTATTTTTAAAGTTTTCAGTGTGAACACACTACTTACACTATTTATACTACAATATGGCGTAGAATAGTGCATAAGTAACGATTTGTGACACAGCTATACAAAATGGCCAGGACCGGAGTTGGGAACCACTGCCCTAACCCCTCCACTCTTCACTCATACTCTTCAAATATTATTGCATTGGGCCCAAATTTGCTTGCTACAATAATAAAAACGCTACAAGAGGAATTAATATACAATAAATACTAATAACTTTTGTAAAATTAAGCAGGAAAATACACAAATGTGTTTATAAGAAGGTGTCTGGTGCATATGGAGAGGAAATAGTGTCCTGCAGGTGGTTTGTCAAACCCACTCACCCAATTTCAAAGAGTATGTTCAACAATTAGAGTTTGCTGTGACTTCAGTCTGAAAAATTAACTCTTAAAATATGCGTTCAGTCCGACCAATCAGTGCAGAGTAGGCCCTGGGAAAATCATTGAGGTAGCATCAAACCAAATATTTCAGACAATTTAAGAAAAGAGTTGATTCAGCATTGGATATTATTGTAAAAATACACTGCAAAAAATGCCTGGAATTGTTTTTGTCTCGTTTCTGGTCCACATCTCTAAAAATTCTTAAATCAAGAAGCATTTTCAGAAATCAAAACAAACAAAACATAGTGTATTGTTTTAAGAAATAACGAGTCAAAGAGTTTATCCCTAAGTGAAGAAGTTTCACAAACTAATTTCGAGAGGAGCACGTGGTATGATTGATCGCAGCTGGTCTCTCACCTGTAATCATAAGTAAGCCATCTGGATCATTCCAAACTCACAATGGCTGCGCATCCGAAACCGCCTACTACTCAGTAGGTACTGCATTTAAATTTAAACGTACTGCTCGGCCGTTAGAAAAGTATGTTCTATACAGTATGAATGTGAAAAGTATGAATGGAATTTGGACGTACTACATCCGCCATTTTGTCATGGTCATGTGACCTACCTGTGTCAGTTGTGTCGCTTCACTCCCATTCATGAATTCTCTCGCGGGGCATTATGGGATGCGCAGCATGCATGGGATGCGCACTCCAGAATCTCGCCGGAAGTAGTAAGTCATCATCTATGAATTCGGACATACTACTCGGCTCGCATACTGATTTTAGCGTACTACATAGTATGGAAGTATGCGGTTTCTGACGCAGCCAATAAATAGCCCGACTAGCATTACTTCCTCATTTTCATGTTTTGAAGAATCCCCCATCCACCCCAGCTCCACCTTTCCTCCTTTATCAGAGGGAGCTCTCGAGAACTACCTGATCTCGCACCCCCTCACATGCTCATTGACCAGGCGGGAGCCCTGGGCTCAAGTATCTCTGAGCTCAGGGCTCTCTCCCAGGACAGCATACCAAACCTGCTATTATCATCAAGCAATATCTAAGTGTGAACTCTTGAAAACAAGCTAAATAATCTGCCAACGGTCTAAGGGACATAATCTTATGTCAAAAAGAAGAACTAGATTATTTCGCTTACCCCATTGGCAGATTATTTTGCCTGTTTTAGGGAAAAACTCAATTGATTTTAACATATTATTTCTTAAAAGAAGACAATATTTATTGCTTGTCTGGAAAAAGCTTCTTGATTTAAGTACATTTAGATATTTGGACTAGAAACCAATCACGCGCGAGAATTCTTTAGTCAAAAACTACTTCTACAAAATGGATTTGTTGATTAATAATGTAAATATTATCCGCCGTTACACAGTCCTGTGGTGCAGCCAGCATCGCTCTCATCTCCACACGAACAAAAAATCTCATACTTATTTCCCCTTAGCAGCTCTGACCAGTTTTGACGTGGTGATCCAGTATGGATTAGCGACTCCCGAGGGTCTGGCTGTGGACTGGATTGCTGGAAACATCTACTGGGTGGAGAGTAATCTGGATCAGATTGAAGTGGCCAAGCTGGACGGGACGATGCGCACTACACTACTAGCTGGAGACGTGGAGCATCCGAGAGCCATTGCTCTCGATCCCAGAGAAGGGTAAAAATGTCTTTATTCACAGTTTCCTACTGCAAAAACACACTTCAAGCTACTGTTGAAGTCAGAATTATTAGCCGTTCTGTATATTTTATTTCACTAATTTCTGTTTAACGGAAATTAACACATATTTAATCATAATAGTTTTAATAACTCATCTCTAATAGCTGATTTATTTTCTTTTTGTCATCATGACAGTAAATAATATTAGACTAGACATTTTTCAGGATACTAGTATTAAGCCTAAAGTGACATTTAAAGGCTAAACTAGCTTAATTTAGTTCATTTGTAATTTGGCAAGTCATTGTAAACCCGTCATAGGCTCATTCTGAAAACGTATCCCTATATACATTTGCCAATTATGTAGCCAAAGTACGTGTGGCTGCATTTTGTCTTTAAAGTGAAGACTACAGGGCCGTAAGACGCTGTTCCTTTTTGCGCTACGAGCTGACCACTTACCTCTGTATGGACGGCTTTCCCACTGTTATTGTCCAGTTGCGTATGTTGGCAAACATGAGATGCAGAGCGGAGTCGACCGCGAAGAACGGTTTTAGAAAGTAGATAAAACTAAAACAAAAGCCAAAAATATGTAATCAACAAGTAAATAACAGGGTGAGAATGAGGTAAAATCTGAAATCGTGGTAAAAATCAGGCAGCTAACTCTCTGCAACTCTCACATGGTCGCCCATGGTCGCCCACTGAAGCTAAGCAGGGCTGCGCCTGGTCACTACCTGGATGGGAGACCACATGGGAAAGCTAGATTGCTGCCGGAAGTGGTGTTAGTGAAGCCGGCTTCAACCTGTGTTCTTTGTGGGTCCTAATGCCCCAGTATAGTGAAGGGGACTCTATACTGCTCAGTGAACGCCGTTTTTCGGATGAAATGTTAAACCAAGATCAAAACCAATCTGGTGCAAAATGGCTGCTGTCGCGTCATCCAGGAGGATGCTGCACACTGGTGGTGGATAAAGAGATTCCCCCCAATGTGTAAAGCACTTTCAGTGTCCAGAAAAGCGCTATATAAATGTAAGGAATTATTATTATTATTATTATTATTATTATTATTATTATTATTATTATTATTATTATTATTATTATTGTTTTGATTTTTATTATTAAGGTCTTTTCTTTTTGTGCATTTCTTTTTAAAACACTGTTGGTTGGGTTTTGGGAGGGACGAGGGGGGTGGGGATCAGTCGGTCAGTCAGTCAGTCGACAGCGGCCTCTGGTGGATTTACGCAAGAACAGCAGGTGCGAATGGCACTCGTGAGAGAAATTTGACACAGCGACCTCACAAAAACAAAATGTTGCAGATGAAAGTGAAGGGGGGGGGGGGGTGTACGTGGGCCCCTAATATAATCTCTGGGGGCCCCCAAAATGTGAGGGCCTTTAGAATAATCCTAACTTTCCCCCCTTTAGCGGTGCCCTTGTATATATATATATATATATATATATATATATATATATATATATATATATATATATATACAGTTGAAGTCATAATTATTCGCCCCCTTTAAATTTCTTTTTCTTTTTTAAATATTTCCCAAATGATGTTTAACAGAGCAAGGAAATTTTCACAGTATGTCTGATAATATTTTTTCATCTGGAGAAAGTCTTATTTGTTTTATTTCGGCTAGAATAAAAGCAGTTTCAATTTTTTTAAAGGCTTTTTAAGGTCAATATTATTAGCCCCCTTCAGCTATATTTTTTTTCAATAGTGTACAGAACAAACCATCATTATACAATAACTTGCCTAACTACCCTAACCAGCCTAGTTAACCTAATTAACCTAGTGAAGCCTTTAAATGTCACTTTAAGCTGTTTATAAGTGTCTTGAAGAATATCTAGTCTTATATTATTTACTGTCATCATGACAAAGAGAAAAGAAATTCAGATCAGTTATTAGAGATGAGTTATTAACACTATTATGATTATAAATGTGCTGAAAAAAAAAATCTGCTCTCTGTTAAACAGAAATAGAGGGGAAAAAATAAACAGGGGGGCGAATAATTCAGACTTCATCTGTATATTCTTACATATATATATCATTTTGCATGCAATTAATCATGATAAATCTTTTGACAGCACTAAATTATACCTGTTAAAGTAATATTTTTTCCATCTTAGATGAACATTCTGATAGTAGATGTCATCATTAAGCAGTTAATCGCTACAATAGGCTGTGAAACCAGCATATGTGTAATAAATCAGTGCTGCGCTCCTGCAGGATCCTGTTCTGGACCGACTGGGACGCCAGCATGCCCAGGATCGAAGCCGCCTCTATGAGCGGACACGGCAGACGCACCATCCATAAGGAGACGGGCAGCGGCGGCTGGCCAAACGGACTCACCGTGGACTACCTGGAGCGTCGCATTCTGTGGATAGACGCCAGGTAACACTTCAAGAATCTATGTGGTTTACTATACCTGTAGGTAACATATAAAATCATTTGTATTCCCAATAATCTTAGATTTTGCTAAAAAATAAACATAATTTAAAGTGAGCTGTTATGCAAAAATCACTTTTATAGGGGGTTTAAACACAGGCAACAGTGTGTGAATGTAATCCCACTTGCTAAAAAACACTTTGATTGATATTGTCCCTTTGTACGTGTCATCAGAGGAGGATAGCCCCACCCACTAGTGCTGTGCTCATTAGCATAGACAGCACTGAGTGAGAAGCAGCCGTCCATTAGCCATTAGGAGCCACTAGAAATAAAACAAACACTCGTAGGTATGCGCTGTGGACTTGTCTGAAATGGTTTATTTGTGTAATGTCTCAGATCTGACGCCATTTATTCAGCCAAGTATGACGGGTCGGGTCTGATCGAGGTGCTCAGGGGACACGAGTATCTCTCGCATCCGTTTGCGGTGACGATGTACGGCGGGGAGGTGTACTGGACCGACTGGCGCACAAACACACTCGCCAAAGCCAACAAGTGGACTGGAAACAACGTGACAGTGGTGCAGAGAACAAACACACAGCCCTTCGACCTGCAGGTCTACCATCCGTCCAGACAACCACAAGGTAAACCCATTTCAAAGAGAATCCCCATATCAGTGTGACGGGGGTAGACAGAAACTGTAATCTAATCCCTAACCATGGCAACACCATAACAACTACCTAGGACACCCTAGCAACCACCTAGCAACACCTGCACAACCACTCAGAACATCATAGCAACTACCTAGCAACACCTTAGCAACCTCTCAGAACACCCTAGCAACACCTTAGCAACCACATAGGACACCCTAACAACACCTAGCAACTCCTTAGCAATTGCCTAGCAACCACTCAAAACACCCTAGCGACCCCTTAACATCAACCTAGGACACCCTAGAAACCACCTAGTAACACCTTGGCAACCAGCTAGAGACCACTCAGAACATTCTGGCAACCACCTAGGAACACCTTAGCAACCACCTAGCAACCATTCAAAACCCCCTAGCAACACCATAGCAACTCACCATTTTTAAACCTCTTAAATCTTGTCTAAACTTACATTACTTATAAGTCAGTTTTAAACTTAAATCTTTCAAACGTTAAGCTGCATAAAAATTGTATCTACTTTTAAACGTAACGCTTCCTAACATTTAGAACTACTTTCAAACTTTAAGCTACTTTAAACTTAAAACTGCTATTAAACTTAAACTTATAACTACTTTTAAACTTGAAGCTTCTTAAGTCTTAGAACTATTTAAAACTACTTTAAACCATGAAGCTACTTTAAACTTGAAGCTTCTGAAAACTTAAAACTATACTTAAAACTTCTTTTAAACTTTAAGCTACCTTAAACTTAAAACTGCTTTTAAACCTACATTAAAACTACTTTTTAAACTTGAAGCGTCTTAATAACTACTTAAAACTACTTATAAACTTTAAGCTACTTCAAACTACTTATAAACTTTAACCTACTTTAAACTTAAAACTGCTTTTAAACCTTAATTAAAACTACTTTTTAAACTTGAAGCGTCTTAATAACTACTTAAAACTACTTATAAACTTTAAGCTACTTCAAACTTAAAGCTATTTTAAAATTTGAAGCTTCTTAATACTTAGAACCACTTAAAACTACTTATAAACTTTAAGCTACTTTAAACTTAAAACTGCTTTTAAACTTAAATTAAAACTACTTTTTAAACTTGAAGCGTCTTAATAACTACTTAAAACTACTTATAAACTTTAAGCTACTTCAAACTTAAAGCTACTTTAAAATTTAAAGCTTCTTAATACTCAGAACCACTTAAAACTACTTATGAACTTTAAACTACTAAAGTTTACTTAAAAAATCTTCTAGTCTAAGCTTTCTCAAGCCAGCCTAAAGTTTGTCTTGTCTTGAGTTTTAATCTAGTTAAAACTATTGTGTTTAGAAATGTGTTAAAAAAAATTGTCTTTCCGTTAGATAAAAATTAGGGAAAAACATATGCAGGTGGGCTAATAATTCAGACTTCACTTGTATGCTGAGTAAATCAGGCCTGTAGTTGTTTCCACACTGCAGTATTCAGCACTGAACATCATGTTGGAGCTTTAAAAGCAGCTCGACGTCATGTTGACTCAACCTTTAATGCATGAACTGTTGATTAAAGTTGGATTCTGCCGGAGTACAGGGGTCGGATGGAGAGCAGGGTCTTGTCTTGATGGACACTTGTGTTGATGCTGTTTGGCTCTTAGTAAAGCAGCTTGTGAATAAACTTGTCATGATGCTTTAGCTCAGCGACTTCATCTTATTGAGGCCGACATCTGTTTATTCCTGTCAGACCGAGGGGGATGAATAGATTTAGACATGCTTTCACTAGATCTTTAACCTCTTTGATTTCTCTTTCTTACATACTTTTCTTCGTGCTTCCTACTGCTATTCAAAGTCTTGCATAGATCTAGGATGACCAAAACAAAATAAGCTCACTTGGTCTGAGGACGTGATTGGTTAAAGGGATAGTTCACCTAAAAATGAAAGCAGTTCATTCGTTTTCCTTCGGCTTAGTCAGTTTATTCATCAGGAATCGCCACAGCGGAATGAACCGCCAACTTACAGTGTCTAGCATAAGTATGTTTTACACTGCCCTTCCAGCTGCAACCCAGTACACACTCAGCCACACTCATACACTACGACCAATTTAGTTAATCAATTCCTCTATAGCGCATGGGTTTGGACTGTGGGGGAAACTAGGGACCCAGAGGAAACCCACGCCAACACGTGGAGCTCAAAAATAATACCTTTTCAAAATAAAATTCATATATGCACAGCACAGTTGATGTTTACAAAATCACGATTTATGAATACAACACACAATTCATGAATTCACAAGTAAAAATCATAATTTTAACATATTTTTGCCAAAAGATTTGGATTCGTTTATTTTAGGAATCGTGTTTTGGATTTCCGAATTGGATTTGGTTATATTTGAACTGTGTTTTCAATTTATGAATTGTGAATTGTGTTGTGAAAGTAAGAAATGTGGGTCACACTTTACAATTAGGTTCATTAGTTAATGTTAATTAATGCATTTACTAACATAAAGAATGAACAATACATTTACTACTGTCTTTGTTCATGTTAGTTAATGTTAGTTAATGAAAATACAGTAGTTCATTGTCAGTTAACTCATGGTGCATTAACTAATGTTAACTAGCATGGACTTGGATGTTAATAATGCATTAGTAAATGTTCAATTATGATTAATAAATGCCGTACATGTGTTGTTCATGATTAGTTCATGTTAGTAAATGCATTAACTAATGAACCTTATTGTAAAGTGTTACCGAAACCGAAGGTTTTATTTTTGAGACTGGTCTGGCTCCGTAAATATTGTCCTGTCTTAACCGACCTTTTTATTAATGAGAAAAAATAAATAAAACATTTAATTTAATTTATATTTGTGTACTGACTGTTGAAATACGAATGAAAATATGGTTAAAATCTCTCCTGTTGTATGTCGATCTGGCCTCTGTGAATGTACTTCACCCTTTAAAATCATAAAATTACAGTAGGGTGATTAACTGTAAGTATTTTTCTTCAATATTTGTGTACTGTATGAATATGCATAAAAATATGGGTAAAATCTCACCTGTAGTAAGTCAGTCTGGCCTCTGTGAATGTACTACACTCTTTAAAGTCATACAGTTACAGTAGGGTGATTTACTGTAATTATTTTTCTTCAACATTTGTTTACTGTAAAATTATGAATAAGACTATGGGTGAAATCTCTCCTGCAGTAAGTCAGTCTGTGCTATGCGAATGTACTACACCCTTTATAATCTGGGCTACAGTTAAAGTCATTTTTACAGAGAACATTATTATTCATGTGTTTTGTTTTTCTTCGAGTGCAGAGTTCATTAACTATTCCAGACACACGAGTTAATCATCCTTTCCTATAATTAATATGAAATGGGTTTCCAAAACATGTATTTGAGTTTGACATTTAAAGTTAATTTATCTTTATGGCCTGCTGGCGTGCAGTGAAGTTCTGACAACACTCGGGGTATCATTTATACTCATTCATTCATTCATTTTCTTGTCGGCTTAGTCCCTTTATTAATCCGGATTGCCACAGCGGAATGAACCGCCAACTTATCCAGCATGTTTTTATGCAGGGAATGCCCTTCCAGCTGCAACCCATCTCTGGGAAACATCCACACACACATTCACACACACACTCATACACTATGGACAATTTAGTCTACCCAATTCACCTGTACCGCATGTGTTTGGACTGTGGGGGAAACCGGAGCACCTGGAAGAAACCCACGCGTATGCAGGGAGAACATGCAAACTCCACACAGAAACGCCAACTGAGCCGAGGCTTGAACCAGCGACCTTCTTGCTACCTACTGCGCCACTGCGTCGCCTAATTTATACACTTTTTTTTTTAATTATTGATTTTGTGGCGCAGTGGGTAGCACGATTGCCAAACAGCAAGAAGGTAGCTGGTTTGAGCCTCGGCTGGATCTTTTGGCACTTCTGTGTGGAGTTTGCATGTTCTCCCCGTGCTTCTGTGGGTTTCTTCCAGGTGCTCCGGTTTCCCCCAAAGTCTAAAGACGTCGTAGGTGAATTGGGTGAGCTAAACTGTCCGAAGTGTATGAGTGTGTGGAGTGTGTGTGAATGAGTGTGTTTCCCAGTGTTGGATTGCAGGTGGAAGGGCATCCGCTGCGTAAAACAAATGCTGGATAAGTTGGCGGTTCATTCCACTGTGGCGACCCCAGATTAATAAAGAGACTAAGCCGAAAAGAAGATGAATCATTTAATATTCCAGTTAAATT